TTTAGCTAACGCACAGGTGTTGAAGAACATTAGCTTATGTAGCCGGTAGAAGTAATGACTGGAATAGGAGCTTAAACTCAAGCTAAAACATGGCGTCCTACGTAGATTTTCATCTGTGACATTGAAGCTGGGTGTCAGCAACGGCTAACTCACATGACTGTTATGTAAATAAACGCAGTACATTACGAGAAGCTTTTTGTCATTGAGCTATAATGCTACAGCCTCTGCAGATTCCTCAGGCTGGGACTTCTCATGAAGATTAGGGTTGACTTTATGAACCAACCTAAATTAGCTTCAATGATTGTTTTCATTAAAAGCGTTAAATAGGCTCTCATACAATGGACTTTCAGATTTAAAAGAAGAAAGCATCTTAAACTCCTGATGTCAACACAGCTGTTTATGAAAGGTTATTGCAAAAATGAAATATCAGGAACTGTTTCTGAAGAGATGCAGGCACAATGGTGTGAATAGGGTTTGCTGAAGCTACAGACCCCTTCCATCTACTCCATTGTGCACCTAAACATTAGTCAGAAATAAGAAGTGTAGAGGAATATCTGTAAGGCCTCCATGATGGACTTTAAAGAAATAGTTCAGACATTTTGTATTGGGTTTCTGTGGAAAAAGAATATCAAGAAAGAACATCCTACCTGTTGTAGATTTCTGAACAGCCTCTGTTTGGAGTAGATTGTTGTCATATTAAAACTCCAATCTCCAGAATTTCATAGTGGTTCATCCGAAAGCTGTTTTATGAACTTAACGCTGCTGACAATTTCATACTGCATGGATATTGTAGCAGTCATTTTATCAAATTCTACACTGGAAATGTTCATGTTATGTTGGAAATTTTTATTTATTGTTGTGGTAGTTTCCAAATTATTATTTTTTTCCTATTCCTTTTATCATTTTAATAGTTATTATTATACAGCTCGTTGGTCAGTGCCACTGTCTCATAATCTTGAGGCTACACGTTCAAGCCCATGTTGCATCGTAAATCTTTCATGCCAAGTTTGGGTGGCCACGTTGTGGCAACCCCTAAAGAGGGAGCAGTTGTGAAGTTGAAGAACTTTGCTTACAGCCTGTTCTTCTTAAATGTACTCCATCCATCCATCATCTTCCGCTTGTTCCAAAGTTGGGTACCAGCTTGAGCAGGGAGGCCCAGACATCCTTTCCACAGCCACCTATTCCAGTTCTTCTGGGAGAATTCCAAGGTCCTAGGCCAACCGAGGGACATACAGTGTAGTCTCTCCAGCGTGTCCTGGGTCTTCCCCAGGGTATCCTCCCAGTCGAACATGGCTGAAGTAGCTCCCTAAGGAGGCATCTAGGACGTATCCTTACCAGATGCCCGAACCAACTCAACTGGCTCCTCTCGATGTGGAGGAGTAGCGGTTCTACTCTGAATCTCTCCCTGATAAATGAACTTCTCACTCTATCTCTAAGGGAGAGTCCAGCTACCTAATTTCAACTGCCTGTATCCACAATCTCGTTTTTTGGTCAGAGTTTGTGGCCATAAGTGAGGGTAGGAACGACGACCGACTGGTAAACAGATAGCTTTGCCTTAGAGCTTTGCCTTAGAGTTTTGCTCCGCTTCACTAAAACGGACCGGTACAGAGTCCACAATACTGCACATGTTGCATCAATCCATCTGTCAATCTCACGCTCCATTCTTCCCTCACTCATGAACAAAACCCTGAGATACTTGAACTCCTCCACTTGAGGCAGAACCTCACCCTCGACCTGAAGAGAACAATCCACCCTTTTCCGACCGAGGACCATGGCCTCAGATTTGGAGGTGCTGATTCTCATCCCAGCTGCTTCACACTCTGCTGTGAACTGCTCCAGTGTGAGATGAAGATCACGGCACGATGATGCCAACAGGACCTCATCATCTGCAAAGAGCAGAGATGGAATCCCTCTGCTCCCTGGCTGCACTGAGAAATTCTGTCCACAAAAGTTATGAACAGAATCAATGACAACGGGCAGCCATGGCAGAGTCCAACTCCCACCCTGAAGGGGTTTGACTTACTACCAGCAATGTGAACCAAACTCGCACCGCTTTTATAGGGACCGAACAGCCTGCAGCAATGAGCCCCCAATCCCATACTCGCAGAGCACCCCTCACAGTGTACCCCAAGAAACATGGTCGAGTACCTTCTCCAAGTCCACAAAACACATGTACACTGGATGGGCAAACTCTCATGACCCCTCGAGGACCCAAGTGAGGGTAAAGAGCTTGTCCAGTGTTCCATGCCAAGGACAGAACCTGCATTGCTCCTCCTGAATCTGAGGTTGGACGAACAATCAAACTCGCTTCTCCAGTACCCCTGAATAGACCTTACCAGGGAGGCTGAGGAGAGTGATGCCCCTGTAATTGGAGCACACCCTCAGGTCCCCCTGCTTTATATATAATTTAGTTATTATTCTGCTTTCGGCTGCTCCCTGCCACAGCGAACTAACTGGCACGAAGACTTGCCAATTGTTTTTATGTTGGATGTCCTTCCTGATGCTACCACAGGCCTCTGTGTGGAGCAGAGAGCTGCCATCTAGGGTGCCTGGGTGAGCAGATGATTGGGGTTAAGGGCCTTGCTCAAGAGCCCAGTATGGGGCAACTGAGGGTGGAGGCAGGTGATATAGAAATGATTATTTTAATGCTTTTATGTCAATCTATACCTATATTACACTTATTTAAACACACTTATACTCACTTTTGATGCAGCTTATCTGCTTATTCAGTCATTCCTGTGCTGCAGATGTGTTTTGGAGTAATTAAAGTTCTCTGGGGATGCTCTAGCCAGAAGATCGGGCCCAATCTTCAGGTTACAGTGACCCAGGTTTTGAAGGACATGTTTTTTATGAAACCATCGCTCTGTTGCACAGACTGCTTTGATGAAGGAAAAACAGATTTAATTAAATCTGCCCTCCTGGCAACCATCAAAACTTGCTTTGATCTGCTCTCACGCGATCCGGTCAGGGAAGAAGGTATAAAGGAAGTGTGACAGGCAACTTAATCTTTGGAAGTCCTGTGATGGATCAGCACGCACGCTGGTGCCATACGCCATTTTGATGTGATTCTTCTTTACCTGGGTCGAAAACGACTTCCCGGCCAGTGTCACGGTGAGAAGTTATTTCATATCAATTTGTGTGTTAAGAGTGTACGAGTGTACATGTGTTTTTTGCTTGGCTGTTTTCTGTGGCAGGTTAATAAAGGACACTTATTACTCCTAGCAGTAACAGCCTCTGTGTTTTATTTTTCCCTATTTGTCTGAATATCTGTGCCGACCGTTCACGAGCCCTTTTGATAAAGAATTTCACAATACAGCAGGTGTGGGTGCTTCACCTTTCCCACCCACATTTTGACGTCAGTCCGGGGAGTCGAACTGCGACCTTCCGATCACAGGCCCACCTCCTCTGTCTGCACCACCACCTATATATTTATTTACTACTTATTAACCTTTATTTAATCAGGCATCTCAATATCCCACTGAGATCACAGATCTCTTTTGCAAGAGAGGCATGGGCCTGGAGGCAGCCTAACATGCATGTTTTTCCACTGTGGGGGGAAACCAGAGTAACTGGAGAAAAACCCCACAAACAGGAGGAGAACATGCAAACTCCACACAGAAAGACTCCAGTTCCAACTGGGGATTGGACCCAGGATGTTCTTGCTTTGAGGCAACAGTGCCAACCACTGATCCATCGTGCTGCCTTTGACATGTAATGCAAAAACGACGGCAGTGTAAAGGTCTATGAGGTGTTGGCATGAGTCACTGGTGTCTCTTAGAGATTGGAGCTGTTTTAAGCAGCAAAGTATCTTAGCTCATCAGTGCTGTCTGATATAAACATCCCTCCAAACTGAGGCTATTCAAAAAGCTTACTCCAACTTGGAAGATATTATTTATTCATTTTATTACATTTTTCATAGAAATGTACTTACTTCCTCAAAGTGTCTGAACTATCCTCTGAATTTTTTCTGTGGTTCCCAGGCTCTGAAATTGTTAAATATATTTCTGCACCTAATCCTGTCTCGTTGTTTTGTTTTGTTTACTAGAATTTTCTGTTTTAAGGAGTAATGTTTTTGCCTCCTCTCTATCCCTAACATCAACAACAACAAAACAATTACAAACAAACATAAAACAGGTTCTAATATGTAGGCAAATAAATTACTGACTGCATTTCTGGATTGAGAAATTAGTAAATATCTATAATGTGTCAATGGATGTTTTTTTATTATTATTATTATTTAATTTAATTTTATTGTTTGATGTGATGCAGGCAGGATGAGTGGGCCCACCTTCCCCCCGCCTGCGGATATGGCTGAGATGAATCGCATTCATTATGAGCTGGAGTACACTGAGGGCATCAGCCAGCGCATGCGAATACCTGAGACCCTTAAGGTGGCCCCTGAGAGCCAGACGGGGCCCGTTGCACTGCAGCTGCCCCTTCCAGCTCACACAACTCTGATGCAGGTTCCTGAAAGGATTGTGGTTGCAGGTGACGTATATGGTTTATATACAACATAAAACCACTAATATTATTGACTTTATAAGTTACAAACAGTGCAACCAAACTATTTATTTGTAGAAGTTTAAAAAGAATAAACAAAAAATAACTTCACTGGAATGTTTAGGCCAAATACTATTTCTGAACAGATTTTATGGAGTTAGTGCGCATCGTCAGGTTGGACAAAATATAATGGAGATTCAATAATTGCCGTATTTGAGATTCAAAGCATGTTCAATCCCAGATTATTTTTATAACACAAACTTTATTTGAATTTTAAAGATAAACAGCCTTCTGGTAAAATGCACTCTTGCTACATAAAAGCTTGTTCATAAAGTTAGAAAAGTCCGTTCCCTTGACTTGTTTTAGAGGCAGCACTCTGTATATTCAGATTTTAATATGTTGAAATCCTTGAGAATGAGAAATCCTCAGCACTGAATTTCATTATTTACTTTCATGATTGATTGACAGCTGATTCTCCAGGGCAGGGATTAAAGGTGGCATCACTGGGCTGCAAGTAGTTGATGTACAGCATTCATGAGGGAGTCTCCTAAATGTCTCCTGAATATCTTGCACTTTTTTTGCAGGATTTTCAATGTCCCTTCGTGAGTCAGATCTTTTTAAAAGCTGGCCGTTCGAAGCATGGCCACATGGCTCATCGTCGCTTACTTGGTCACAAACCACAATGCAGTGAGACGACAACGAAACGGTCATGCAGTTTCTCACTTTTGAGTCACCAGCTCAGTGAGATCCCACCTTAAGCAGACTAGCCAGTAGTGTGATTTAGAAAATGGGAATAAAATCTGCATCGCCACAAAGTATTGAATAACAGTATAAAGAATGTGCTTTATAGGTGATAATACAATATTTCTGCTTTGGCAGATCATCCACACATTCTTATCCTTTCTACCTGTTGCCCTGTTGTCTTCCTCCAGGCCACACAGACACAATTATGCAAACGTTATAACCCATGAAAATCAGGAAGTGCTAAGTCAGTAGGGTTTTTATGAACGTTTGTGGCCCTTCCCTACCTTAATTCCCATTTTGTCTGTAGGTGACGATGGTGATTCCAGATTTGCTTGTCCAAGAGACTTGGATCTCATTCAGTCCATCCCATCTGTGGACCTCCTGAACATGAAGGCCCCACCACGTGTCCTCACCCTCACAGAACAGCCTCTGGACTCTCTTGAAACAGAACAAACTGCCAACTCACAGAGTAATTCCAGCCAAACAGTACGTGACATAAAACTTTTTATTTTCTTCTCTATTATGTGGATAAAGGAATGAAATTAATTTTTCAAAACCTACTTGTTTGTGTGATCTGCAACAAGTTCAACGTGTCCTTTAGATTTTCTCGCTGCTAGCGGACTTGATAAAAGCTGAGTTTGAATATCTAAAGGTTTGGAAAGCTTTTTTTAATGTGTCTCAGTTCCTTTTCCTTCACTTCTGTCATGGAGACATGTTCAGCCTGATGGTGTAAAGTTTAAAGATAGAAAGTTTGTGTTCCAGTTAGGCCTGTCACGATAAAAAGTTTTGCTGGGCGATAATTGTCTCAGAAATTATTGCGATAAACGATAATATTGTTTGAAATTTAACAATAATTAGTAATTATTGTCAAATTTAAGAAGAAATGTTGGTTAATTTATTTTGAGTGTAATACTTTTTTCAACCACTGATGGCAGTAGAAGACTGTTTGAACCAAAGGATGGATAGTGAGGGAGCGAGCAGCATGTCTCTAAGGGTGCATTCACACCAGCCCTGTTTAGTCCGCTTTAATCGAACTCTAGCTCGTTTTCCTTGAAAGTCCGGTTCGTTTAGGGAGGTGTGAACGCGCCATCGAACTCTGTCACGGAACAAAAAGGTGAACTCTGGCTCGGGTTAAAACCTAGGTCTCGGTCTGGTAGGAGCGAACTCTAGCGCGGTTCGAGTACAGTGTGAATGCAAACAAACCGGACCCCGCTCCGCAGGGTAAACAAACACGCATTTCTCTGACCTTATATGGAGCCGTCAGCTGCCTTGTGTGAAAAACAATATTCTTCATGGTCTTCTGTCTCATCTTCTGCTCATGCTAAGTCCATTTTTGAAAAATGACAAAATATAACTCCTAAAACTGCTAAAACTTGATGCCACTTCGTTTTTATTTTTATTTACAGAAGAAGAAGACGTGTCTTCAGAGGTTTTTGTGTCGTTTCTTTCAGTGGTTCTTGGTGCAGCGCCCCCACAGGCGAGCGGGGGAATAGGTTGGTTCAACAGGTTGACTCGACTGCACAGTGCAGTGTGAATAATAATAATAATAATAATGTCATCACAATGTCAGCACTGTATGTTTCCATACAATGGCGAAATTAGTCTCTGCATTTAACCCATCCACCACCAGGTGGTGCAGTGGGCAGCTATTGAAAGCGCCCGGGGGATGCAAACGCACCAGCTCAAATGTAAACAAAAGCTCATGAATATTGGTCCCGAACCGAGTCTACCGGACTATCTAGTG